AATAATGTAATAGAAATAATTGCAGAGGACCTAGCAGTCAAGGTCAATGTACACTTTCTAGTCATTATTGTTAGTAGAGTTCCATAGAGCACTATAAGGGCTTATGTAGACACTTTCATTTTGGATCCAAAGTGCAGCGTTTGACAAGAAAATGCTGCATTTGACCTGATTTGCCTGAAATTTAAAACACACCTCAGTAGGATCTCCTGTGTCCAAAGAGAAGCAACGCAAAGCAATGTATGTCAGAGACAGCCTCTGAATTGTCATCTATACTACTTAATTAGAGCCAAAAATAATCTGCTGACCTGCATTCCATCAATATTTGTTCAGTATCAAATAAACTAAATACTGTAAATCATATAGACCATGCCCTAGTGACTTATAGTAAATATGTTGTCCTCTAGTACCTCAGACAAAAATGCAGAGGGGTCAATGAAGAAGTTAAATGGAAATACTCACCCTGGTGACCCAGGACTGAAAACAAAATGACTTATTAAGCCTGCTCAGAACTGGTGCCTACATGTGTTTGTTTTTAGGTAAAGAAGCTGATATACTGTTTGTTCTGCAGATGTAAACCTAACCATAATCCATCTGACATGACCTTATGACCCGCTCTCTGAGCGGCCTTCCCTTTTTCTGGCCCTGTGTTGACGCCTATCGTGTCCTATAATGGCATGGCGTAACCGAAAACACATATTTAAAAGTCAAAAACTAAAAATCAATATGTATTTCCCACTCCTAATACCCATATCCCTCTAGAATTTTGTAAACTTGTACCAGTAAAGGATGTACTTCCTCAATGCACTGACACAATTTCACTCAGCCCTGTGAATATGAACTTACTTGTATCAAAAGTAAGAACTACAACTCTGTGTCTAAACAATGTAACATTATCATTGTTTGCTGGAAGCAAGGCATGATGGGCTATGTAGACTTGAGAAATGGAGATTGCATCACATCAAGCAGCAGAGAAAGAGATGCAAAGCACACTGGGAATCCAGGAAGTTGGTGAAAGTGATGAGCAGATGGAAGGCAGCACATAAAAGGGATTTCCAGTAAGCTTTGTATTCCTACTACAATGCTGATATTATAACAGGATAGCATATGCTGGGACCAGGGGCGTAACTGGAAATCACAGGGCCCCATTGCAAAATTTTGTATGGGGCCCCGTGATTTCTAGTTATACCCCTTGCAGAGCCCACTCGAGATCCCACCTGAGGGCGAACCTGCAGAGCCCACCATAGACTCTCGATCTCAATTTGGTAACCAATCGCTGGCCAGAATGAGCGAAGCGCACTGTTACTATCGATTCCTCATAGGCAGAGTACATTTGGTATCACTCCGCCTGTGACAGGAGACGGCGCTATAGAGAAGGCATAGGCTTCTGCTCCCACCGGTGCCGCCTCGCTTCCTCTAGCGCTGGCTTCGTTGGCACCGCTGATTCTCTCCTGCCTCTCCCTCAGCTCTTCAAGTTCCCCCTTATGCCAGTGGCCCTGGGAATGGTCACAACTAGGTCTTATTTTCTGGGTAGGTCTTATTTTAGGGGAAACAGGGTATCTATCTATCTATCTATCTATCTATCTATCTATCTATCTATCTATCTTTTGTCTGTCTGTCTATTTATCATCTTTGTAATGGCATTAATGGGAATATTTGATTAATTGAGACCCAGAGAGAAGCCAGAAAATGATCCAATTTACCAGGAGACAACAGGAAACGGTTTCTACCACCACCTAATCATATACTATCTATGAAGGAGGTTTACCAGTAGACCCTGTACCAGTTCTGTGAGAATGCAGACAGTGACAACTAGTGACATCAAAGAGACATGAGGTATAAGATTTAGCATATTAGTTCCAGGCAAATAATACAGAGCTTTCAGACACAAACTGACTGAATCTAGTTGTTTTTTGTGAACTCTTTCAGCCTTCTTCACCATGTCTAGGGAAAGGGTACAGCTGAATTCTAAAAGCAATAATGAGTAAAATGTTTACTCAACAGAAAAGTTAATAAGTACATTCGCTGAACACATTCTCTTTCCTCTCTTCAACACTCTCTCCCTCTCTATTCCTCTGCAGTGAACATCCAGCCTGTGAGATGTTTTTAGATACTGTTTATATAGAGGATAAACATTTCAAAAGATCGGAAATAACTTTGAACAAAAACACAGAATCCATCTGGGTAGGGTTTGCAGTGGCTGCAGTAGCTGCCATCCAGTTATCACTTGCAGGCTTATTCAATAAAGCAGTGGTATCAGCGGCAGCGATCTACAAAGGGCAGTGACCCACAGCAACTAATCACATTTCAGCATTCTGAAGATCTATGAGAGATGAATTCTAATTGGTTGTTATGGGTTATGCACTTTCCATATTATTTGCTGCTTGGAAAGAGCAGTTTGTATTCTATGTCATGGGGATATAGAGGCAAATGTATGCAAAGAAACCCTGGGCTGAGTACAGGTGTTTGCAGCATGGCACACCAAGGAAACACCATCATTGACTTTTGGTTCTGGTGATGGTCCCATATCATTGTTATCTGCAAATTCCTCCATCTATTTCTGGTTTATTTTGCGTTATCCTCTACAGGCAATGCTGCCAGTGTTTAAAGCGGAACTCCGGGCACAAACAATGCAATTTAAATATATTCCTCAATAGCCACAAAGGATATACATCCTCACATGCCCTTTCAAGCCCTATTATTACCTTGTTAAAGTAGCAGTGACATCACTATGCAGTACATAGTCAGTACAGAGAGCAGAGCTGTGGGAGGGACCTGGGAGGTTCACCCACTACAGAATTGGTAGCCAAAATCCGGCCCTCAGCCTGTGGTGAAACTACAAATCACGTCATGCCTTTGCAAGTCATACCTGTGGATGTCAGAGTCTTGCAATGCCTTTTAAGACTTGTAGTTCCACAACAGCTGAAAGTTTGGCCACCACTGCACTACAGGCTGCCTGCAGTAAACTACGGGAAGGGGCAGATACAAGACCAGTCACCCTGCACAAGGTGAGAGAGCAGCAGTGACTGGTCTTTATTACAGTAAGCTCCTGCACGAAAGCAAAGTTTCACACTGGATTACTGTACAGATCTGGAAGAAATACACAAAGCACTCCAAGATTGAAGTAATTATACATAGGGCTCTTCTATTTACACAATATTTGCTTATCCTGGAGTTCAGGATTTTAAGAGAGAAACCTGGCACTCAGGAGGCATTTGATTCTGAGACAATCACACACAATGAATGGAATTAGTATAATAGATATCTTTACTTACGGGGTTATTCACAAAAGGGTGAAGGGTTTGGAGAAGGCAGGAGAAGTGACCGATCTAGGACAACATAGCTGAACTGGAAAAATTCTCCAATTCAGCTCACTTTCCAGTTCAGCTATGTTGTCCTAGATTGGTCACTTCTCCTGCCTTCTCCAAACCCTTCACCCTTTTGTGAATAACCCTGCTAGTGGCCATTCATGACTATTAAAAGGTTTTTATTGCTTCTGCATATTTAGTTTTAAAGAAGAATAGCTAAAAAACTGACCTCGTTTAGCCAAGGAACTGAATACAATGTCACCAACATATTACTCACATGAGTGCGTTGCGGCTTAAATCCCCACGATTGCATAGGGGGGTTTAAAAGTGAAATGCTGCTTTCTGAACATGTACGCCTGTGAAAAGCTGTCAGTACATACACTCTGCTTAGCTCTGATGTATAATAAAAAAACGCCAGCCTGCAGATTCCAAATCCCAGGCAGCTGACAGCACAGAAACACAACATCCCTTATACAAACAGGGTCTGTCAGAGTCATCCTGTGGCTGTCACACTCATCCAATCAGAAAATGATCACCTCTGAACTGCTAGAGGCCTGCAGCACATTCCTCCAAGGTGGAAGAGTCTGCAGGTAGTCGCAAACTTTCATTTATTAATTTCTCCTTCCAGAGTGACAGCACAATATACGTGTTCCAAATTTTAATGAATATGTACATCTTGTCTTGAATTGTATTGTAGTTGTAATGTCTTCCTTATATTGTAAACATCTGCGCAAACTGTTGGCGCTATATAAATCCTGTATAATAATAATATCCTGTATAGAACTGTTCTGCTTTTATAATGATCAGTTTCAGTAGACTGTTAAGTACAATTCAGGGAGCACTCACTGGGATATGTATGCAGATATAATAACTCATTCAAATAACCTATTAGATGTAGGGAGTGAAATTGTACAGATCAAATAAAAGTCATTTAGAAACGTACAGTGTAAAGTAACAAACAATCTCTAGTACTTCTATGTGATAAATCACTTCCAATAACTTTTTATTGCACCTGATATGATCACATTATATATAATATAAATATGATCACAATATATATTTTACAATCAGATTGCAGCATGCATAGAATACAATGACTTACAGTAAGGAGATCTATGGTATTTGAGTGGCACCATCAATGAAATGGTGGCAGCACAATTGAAGAATGAAATGTCTCAGTATGCATATTTTCACCCCAGATGACACTAGCTTGGCCAGAGTAGCCTGGCTGGTACTTGGTAACCGATTTCCTCCAGTCTGGGGACACTGAATGAAGTCTGACTAGTCCAGCCAAAGCATGTCACAAAATCACATCATAGGGACATTTTTAAGGCACAGAATCTGTCTGCTCCAGATTCTGCCTGTGGAGCAGACAGAATCTGGAGCAGTTGCCCATAGTAACCAATCAGCTTCTCTCTTTTTGTTCAGTTAAACTTTGAACATGGAAGAGAGAAGCTGATTGGTTACTATGGGCAACTGCTCCAGAGTCTGTCTGCTCCAGTTTTGATTAATGCACCCCAATCATGTTTCCAATTCTTCAGGTCAGTACTATGACTCCTTTTCACTACAAGGCATATCTGCTGAGTTTCCTTATATAACTCTATAGAACTGTATGCTTCTATAAACTTTACACTAGTATTAGGAAATACCTACAGAGCAAATAAGAAATAGAAAGCAGAGAACATTGTGACTCACCTGCATTGTGTGTTGGGAGTTCCCCTGAGGTATTGGTGTTGTATGTACTCCTAGTAGGCACAGGGCAGGCAGGATAATGAGGAGATACATTCTCAGAGCTGAGCACAGGTTGTATAAGGGAGGTAGTAACTACTGTATGTTGCAGCAGACTCTTTGTTCCACTTTCTTTGTCTCTCTCTCTCTCTCTTTCCTGTGTTATGTGTGGAGGAGCTGCCTGGTGCCTGTCAGTGAGTAGAGAATCCCTGCTGGGGATTTATACTCCTCTGTGCCTTTTGTTCTCTCCCTTCACTTTTATGGCCTGAAGTGACACATCTGAGCAGCAGCATCACGTGCTAAATATTTGGGAAGGAGAAAAAGAGAGAGCGAGAGGGGTTGACTAAGGAGAGGGGTACAGTTGGAAAGGAGACAGGAAGGGGTTATTTTGCTGTCAACAAAAAAAAGATTTTCTTTAACAGAAAGTTTATATTGTGTTAATTTATCTTGGCAGCTTCACATTGAAAATAAACATGAAAAAGTAAAACAAGGCAGGCAAAAGCACACATATATATTTGTGTATACAAAATGTATGATAAACTTGTTACATTGCACACTCACAACCTTGGATGGTTAACTTAAAGTGACACTAAGCTCAGGAGTTAAATCTTACAACTGCATTCAGGTATCTTCACTATTAACAAAAATGTATCTTATTTGTGTATCACTCAGTTGTAGATCCTCAAATCATCTCTGAATTCATGCTGACACTGTCCTTCCTTCTGGAGGGTGGCTACTTTTGTTCCCCATGGTCCCTGTGTGTGCTGTAAAATAGCCACCGCTCCAAGCTCGCTCCCGGGATGGACTACAATCTCAATACTAAACATGAGATTGTAGTCCATCAAAGGATCGAGCTTGAGGCGGTGACTACTTTACCACACACACAGGGACCATGGGGAACAAAAGTAGCCACCCTCCAGGAGGGATGACAGTGTCAGCATGAATTCAGAGATGATTTGAGGATCTACAGCCGAGTGACACACAAATAAACTACATTTTTATTAATAGTTCAGGTACTTGAACACATTTTTAAGATTTAGGTCCTGAGTTTAGTGTCACTTTAACCACTTGAAGTCCGAGGTGTTAAATCCCCCTTCCAGTCCAGGCCATTTTTCATTATTCAGCACTGCAGCACTTTGACTGACATTTATTCAGTCATGCAAGCCATAACAAAATTAATTTTATTTATTTTAAAAAAAAATTTGGGGACAGATAGAGCTTTCTATTGGTGGTATGTAATCACCACTGTTTTTTTTTACTATATAAAGAAAAAAAGTACCAAAAATGTTTTAAAAAATACTGTTTTCCCTACATTATGTTATAAAACATTTATTATTAGGGATGCACCGATATATCGGCCGCCGAAACATATCGTCCGAAAATGGCACTTTTGGCAAATTGCCAAAAGTGCCATTTTCCTGCCTATACATCGGCGACTCCGTGATTTCTTTCCTTCCCACTGGGCGCTGCTCTGTGTCCCTGCGGGGAGGAGAGAAAGTGACGGCCGGCCGAGCTATGCGGGACATGAGCGCTGTGAGTGGCCGGTGTCTCTGCTCCCACACCGCTCGGCTGCCTATCACAGTGCGGCAGAGCGGTCTGGGGGCGGAGACAGCGCTGTCACAGGAGGCTGGGCTCTCCACTCGCACCGCTCACTCAGCCTCCTGTGACAGTGTGTGTCAGAGAGGAGAGCAGGCTACATACACTCAGTGATCAGTGATCTCTGAGTGTATTGTACATAATTGAGGATATGGTATGGTTAATATATCCTCAATTATGAATGAATGGGAGTGATCTATATCCCTCCTGTTCATAATTGTGGTTATAGTAAACATTCTATATTCTCAAGTTATAAATGAACAGGAACACTCAGAGGATTTCTGTTCATTGACAACAGGGGATACAGAAAAAGAGATTGAGGACTCTGTGTTCTCAATCTCTTTTTCTATTTTAAGGGTCATATCGGGCTAAATAGACACCAAACATGTCGAGCATAAAAATTGCCTGCACCCACGAAATCGCAAAAAAACGACCATACCAAAAATTGGCCATTGACGACACTTTAAAAGCTTTCACTGCTCATCAATTTAGTAGTACCAGGGATTAATGGCCCTAGAATTATTGATAGTTGCGGTGATACGTAACTTGTGGTGTAATTGTTGTTTTTGCACGTACGTGCACCCGACGCATATTTATGTTTGTATGTGCGTGTTTGTGGAAGCTGGGGACTAAAACTTTTTGTGTGTTTTTTTTTTTTTGCGACAATTATTTTTAAACTTTTTTCTTTTTTTTACACTTATCTTTATTGCTATCACATAGGGGGCTAACAAGGATTGCCAGGCACAGTGATGATGCACCAATCCCAGCGCATTGCACATTGCACTGTTTACTTTTTTTTTGTTAGAACTTTATTAAAATGTACTGCATGGACCACTTGTTTTCAGCACACACCACTGCAACACGGTCATGTGAACTGATCCCATTTGATACAAGGCAGATATTGCCTTGTCTAGCTATGCTGGCTGCTTTTTCCAATGCATCTGGTCAGAATCCAGTCTTAAGCTGGCCATACACTGTATACATTTCAGTCAGTTCTCAGAACCATCTCAGATTTGTTTAGTGGGTACCCCTGTTGCCACCCTTCCACCCGGTATCCTTTGATCAGAATATCGACAGAGCTGGATGGCAAATTTTCCTTTAAACAGTGACGGCAGACAATCAGCTACTGTCACTGTTCGTGCATTCTGACAGTGTTACATCTGCAACTGTCAGAATGCAATAGCCCAGTGGGAGATTCGTCCATCCACACTGTTTAGTAGGGATGGAGGAATCTGTTATATTTTTTTCATTCAGTCTGCAGGTGGAGTGAAAAAATATAACGGTGTACGGCCAGTTTTGGTCTACCTTTTCCCAAAGTATTTGTGTATTAATATATTATTGAAACGGTTGTATTTAATCTGCTTCATAAATACAAAAAACGCCTGTTGATCCAGACAGCGATCTTATCAGCTGATTGTGTGCTCTCTGCTTCTGCTGCACTGTTATAAGTTACAATGCTCTCTGTTATGTCGGAGGACTGCAGAACTCTGCACTCTGTTATGGAGAAGAGGAGAGGTTGTAGTCTTCTGCTTTTCCACAGATACAGTTTGGCGAATGAACATTGTCATTCTAGGACAAAATTAAAAATCTAAATCAAAGATAAAATCTTGAAAAAAAAAAAAACTAATGCAGCCACCATATCTAAGGACTGGGAAACTGAAATATCATAAACCTGAACTCCAGGCACAAAAACATTTGTTTAAATATATTCCTTAATAGCACAAAGGATATAAATCCACTTTTTGTGCACCAAATGCCTTTTTGCAAACTCAGATACTTTCTTGTATAAGTAACGGTGGCATCATTACTGTGCTATACACAGTCTGTGCAGAGTTGTGGGAGTGACCTAGCAGGCCCCACCCATTACAGGTCGCCTGCAGAAAACTACAGGAGGGAGCGGATACAAGACCAGCCACCCTGGACAAAGACAAAGAGAAGAACAGTGGCTGGTCTTTATTACAGGAAGCTCTTGCACAGATGCAAAATTTAACACTGGATTACTGCACAGAACTGGAAGAAATACACAAAGTACGCTAAGATTTAAGTAAGCATGCCTGTTGTATTTAGACAATATTTGCTTATCTTGGAGTTCAGCTACAAATTTCAAAGTTCAGATATGCTTTATCATCTGTGAGCTCAGAGCAGACACCACTTGGCAAGGAGAAATGCAATGCCCCTCGCCCACCTTCCTCTATAGGCTGCAAACAAATGGTCACCTAAGACTATTCTTGTTTACAGTTGCATCATACCTCAATGTCCAACCGCTCTCTGCAGTCACCTTTAGGTATAACTCCATGGTTAACACCAAACCAAAAGCAGATATCCAAGCAAAACGCTTTTTTGGATACAGCACAGAAGATTTAGAACATCTGCTTTGTTTTTTTTGTTGGGTCCTAGGGCAGATTTCTTCTCACTTCCTGCCCTGTTGGCACCAGTTGCTGGGACAGGAATTGATCTTCTCAGGACACAGAGAGCAAAAACAAAACAAAAAAACATGACAGAAGTTCTAATGCTGCTCCATTCAGCTAAAAAAGTAATTGAAATGCTGTTTTTGTCCTAGTTCTTTAGGTGGCAGTATTCACTGGAGGAAGAAGTAAGGCCTGACAGCAGTTAAACACAGCTCCAAAATTTCCTAACTTTTTTTTTTTTAAATAGTTTTATGGTTGTTAGTTGAATTATCATAATCTTGTAACCAAGGAGAATGGAACCTGTATCCCCATGTATTACTTCCATCTTTCATTCTGAGCTTCTAACGTTTTTACAAAAATATAATTTGGTTGTACTAATTACATTTTTCTCTGTCAACCGGAACTGTATGCAGCATATGAAGGAAGGAAACTATGAAGTCTTTGTTCTCCTTCTTCAAGATTAAGCTGCCCACTAAAGCTGAATGTACATGGGTGCTGAACACATAAGAGCAGGGTCTTGTTGGTTGTCTAACTGCTCTTCAGTGGGGGGCCCACACATATTGTACAATGTGACCCATGATCTAGATCCTGCAGAAAACTTTGGGGCAGCTGCACAGAATTGCACCATGCCACCCACGCGTGTAAACTAGGCCATTTGGTTCAATGTACTACTTTGGTTCCATCATTTAAGCAGAGCTGGGCAAGGGTCAAAACAACCTACCAAGTGCCTCCTTCTTTTATCTGTGAGAATCCAGCCTTAAGCTCTCCTCTCTGACGCACACTGTCACAGGAGTCTGAGTGAGCAGTGCGGGAGGAGAGCCCAGCCCCCTGTGACAGCGCTGTCACCGCCCCCACACCATTCTGCCGCACTGTTATAGGCAGCTGAGCGGTGTAGGAGGAGAGACACCGGCCGCTCACAGCGCTCTTGTCCCGCAGCGCTCGGCCAGCTGTCACTATCTCTCCTCCCCACTGGGACACAGAGCAGCGCCCAGCGGGGAGGAAAGAAATCACGGATGCGCTGATGTATCGGCAGGAAAATGGCACTTTCGGCATTTAGCCAAAGTGCCATTTTCGG